GGTCTGAAAAAAACCACGGAATTCGCATATCCTCTTTCGAAAATAAAGCGTAGTTTAGATCTATCCTGAGTGAAGGACTTGCATTTAGATAGTCACATTTTTTTCCCTATACATCTATAACTCTTCAGCTTTCTATAACCGGGGGCAGGGGGGATATACATAAGCTAAATACAGTAGACTTCCAATAATCCGGAACCTATGGGACCTAGGTGGTGCCGGATTATCAAATATGCCGGACTATCAGGAGGTACTATTAGCTGGTTATATATATATATGCTGTATACATTATATACTGTATATAAAGTGTTCCTAACCCTTTTTATTGTACATACTGTATACAGTATACTGTAATGTTTTAGGTTTTTTAAAGCCTTTTTTACCCTTTTTGCTCAGTTCAGCTGCTGCTGCTGGTACCTTGTGACTCATTTTTTGCCGAAGCTCACTCATTAGGCTCTTGCCATTTTGATGCCGGACTATCAGGAGTGCCGGACTATTGGATGCCGGACTATTGGAGTTTTACTGTAGTTCCTATGCAAAGCCTGTGTGGTCCTTGCTTTAACTGCCAAGTGGTCCCTAAAGAATTAAACTAGAAACTAGAGTACCCATGAGAACAGATTACTTAGAAGAGCGTGCATAGGCTCCTGAAGGAATTTGGTGGATTCAGCACACAGCTAAGAGCAGTTTGACTGCAGCTTGCCACTTCTCAAGGAGTTGTGACAGATGAGACTGCTTGAAGGGCAGAACGAGAAATACTGTACTCTGCTCACATCCAGTTGGTTTGGAAGCACATGGGATCCAGAATCAGCAGACTTGTGACTATCCAAGTGGGGATTCAGCCAGGGATCTAACACAGGTATTACCAAAGCTAAGATGCAGTAAATATTAAACTAAAAATAGAACATTATTAGCTGTCATGGAGTAGGAGCTAGAACTGTTCTCTAGGAGCCAGATGGACTTAAACTGCTTGCACAGCACTTTCTCACTAGTGACCTTCCTTTTGGGTTCAAGGAAAAAAGTCCCTGGGATGCCCAAGAATGATGTCCAAGAATGTTTGCAGTAGGCACTTATTTGATAATATGCTCCCATCTAAAGATTTCCTTCTAACCCTTGTTATTAAAAGTTGGGTTTAGTCCAGGAGCTTATATAAACATCCAATTCCTTTTTTCAGTCCTGCTAGACTCTTGGCTTCAGAATCCTGTTTCAGTGAAATAAATAGTACATATACATTGTGTGGAGAGGGGAGGAGGGTTAATTTTGAGCTCTAAATTTGCCAGTTTCCCATTTAATTGAATTTTAATTCTTTTTGGTATTAAATGACAGTGAAGACCTTCATATGGGTGAAGTATGGCTTGCTTAGTTAATGTTTATGAAGTGCTTTAAGAACTTAAGGTGAATGACATGTCAGAAATACCTTATTTAATTGGTATGGTTTGGGCCTATCTCTTTCTAGTGCTATTTCCAGTTTCTTAATTGGGTACTCCAATGTTTTGAAAAGCCTGAATCTCTCATCTTGTGAGAGTGAGTGAGTGAGTGAGTGAGTGAGTGTGTGTGTGTGAGAAAAAATGATTGGAACGAAGTCTTATTTAAACCAAGCTATAAATTGTAGTTACATAGTCTATATGGACATGTGCCAATCTTACCCAGATGGCTCTTAGAGCTCCAAATCTTGCTCTTGATGAACTCATGCTATGCCCACTTCCTGGTGTACCTGTTTTTTCTTTTGGAATCATTACTTTTTGTAATCTTTAGTTCTCTGTTTACTTATTTTCAGGTTAGCAGATGGCAGCACAATGTGTAACAAAGGTGGAACTGACCATCTCCTGCAACAATCTCCTGGATAAAGATGTTGGTTCAAAATCAGACCCCTTGTGTGTACTTCTCCATAATGCAAGTGGGCAACAGTGGTATGAGGTAGAATATGATCTTTCTTTCTACAAGTACAGTCTATTAGAAATATTCGGTGAGATACAAGAGTTGTTTTCAGTAATTCTCATGATTTACCAACCATACTAAATACACAGACAATCTGGCCCAAAGTATGTCAATCACAGACATGCAATGGATATACACCACCACGCGAATGGTAATTTTTTTTCTATCTATGTTGTTATCCTATCTGAAGTTATGGCTATAGTAGATGGTAAATTTATATACATTGTGTGGCTCAAGGGTGTGAATAAACTACCTTCTAAACAACATAAGTTACAT